ACCCTTTCTTTGTATGGAATGCATATACATAACCAAGCCCATCTATGGAACAAAAAATGTATAGGCATAGGTTATGAAACGCTGAAAATCAGAAAAGTTATAAATAGAAAAATAACAAAAAAGGAGGAAGAAACTTTATAGATGAGATAACATCTATTCGAAGAGAAAGAGAGAGACAAAGGGGGGAGGGGAACGAGAGCGAGATATCACGGAGAGGCAGTTAAACAGACAGAAACAAAGAAAGAAATGGTCGACGGAGAAAGCGGAAGCGCGTGTGAGAGAAAGGAACATCCTGTCTTCCGAATTCCTCGACACTTCTTGCCTGTGATGAAGAAGAAGAATCACGTCCCAGCCGAGTCAGCGGCGGACTTCTTGCTTCCCTCACAAGACAATAAACGCCTCCTCCCCCCCTAACACACCCCAGCCCCTCGCCCTCCGTCTCCGTCTCGAAACCGCTCCAGCACGGCTCCTTCGCCGCTCCAGCAGCTCTCTCCGCTCCCTCTCCTCCTTCGGCTCCTTCGCCGCTCCAGCAGCTCTCTCGCTCTTCTCTCCTCTCTCGGTCCTTCGCCGCTCCAGCAGCTCTCTCCGCTCTTCTCTCCTCTCTCGGCTCCTTCGCCGCTCCAGCAGCTCTCTCCGCTCTTCTCTCCTCTCTCGGCTCCTTCGCCGCTCCAGCAGCTCTCTCCGCTCCTCTCTCCTCCTTCGGCTCCTTCGCCGCTCCAGCAGCTCTCTCCGCTCTTCTCTCCTCTTCTCGGCTCCTTCGCCGCTCCAGCAGCTCTCTCCGCTCTTCTCTCCTCTCTCGGCTCTTCGCCGCTCCAGCAGCTCTCTCCGCTCCTCTCTCCTCCTTCGGCTCCTTCGCCGCTCCAGCAGCTCTCTCCGCTCTTCTCTCCTCTCTCGGCTCCTTCGCCGCTCCAGCAGCTCTCTCCGCTCTTCTCTCCTCTCTCGGCTCCTTCGCCGCTCCAGCAGCTCTCTCCGCTCCTCTCTCCTCTCTCCGCTCTTCGCCGCTCCAGCAGCTCTCTCGCTCCTCTCTCCTCCTCGGCTCCTTCGCCGCTCCAGCAGCTCTCTCCGCTCTTCTCTCCTCTCTCGGCTCCTTCGCCGCTCCAGCAGCTCTCTCCGCTCTTCTCTCCTCTCTCGGCTCCTTCGCCGCTCCAGCAGCTCTCTCCGCTCCTCTCTCCTCTTCGGCTCTCTCGCCGCTCCAGCAGCTCTCTCCGCTCTTCTCTCCTCTCTCGGCTCCTTCGCCGCTCCAGCACTCTCTCCGCTCTCTCTCCTCCTCGGCTCCTTCGCCGCTCCAGCAGCTCTCTCCGCTCTCTCGCTCCTTGCCGCTCCAGCAGCTCTCTCCGCTCCTCTCTCCTCCTTCGGCTCCTTCGCCGCTCCAGCAGCTCTCTCCGCTCTTCTCTCCTCTCTCGGCTCCTTCGCCGCTCCAGCAGCTCTCTCCGCTCCTCTCTCCTCCTTCGGCTCCTTCGCCGCTCCAGCAGCTCTCTCCGCTCCTCTCTCTCTTCTCGGCTCCTTCGCCGCTTCCAGCAGCTCTCTCCGGCTCTTCTCTCTCCTCTCTCTCGGCTCCTTCGCCGCTCCAGCAGCTCTCTCCGCTCCTCTCTCTCTCCTCGGCTCCTTCGCCGCTCCAGCAGCTCTCTCCGCTCTTCTCTCCTCTCTCGGCTCCTTCGCCGCTTCCAGCAGCTCTCTCCGCTCCTCTCTCCTCTCTCGGCTCCTTCCCGCTCCAGCAGCTCTCTCCGCTCTCTCCTTCGCCGCTCAGCTCTCTCCTCTCTCTCCTCCTTCGGCTCCTTCGCCGCTCCCAGCAGCTCTCTCCGCTCTTCTCTCCTCTCTCGCTCCTTCGCCGCTCCAGCAGCTCTCTCCGCTCCTCTCTCCTCCTTCGGCCTTCGCCGCTCCAGCAGCTCTCTCCGCTCTCTCTCCTCTCTCGGCTCCTTCGCCGCTCCAGCAGCTCTCTCCGCTCCTCTCTCCTCTCATCGGCTCCTTCGCCCGCTCCAGCAGCACTCTCCGCTCTTCTCTCCTCTCTCGGCTCCTTCGCCGCTCCAGCAGCTCTCTCCGCTCCTCTCTCCTCTCTCGGCTCCTTCGCCGCTCCAGCAGCTCTCTCCGCTCTCCTCTCTCCTCTCTCGGCTCCTTCGCCGCTCCAGCGCTCTCTCCTCGGCTCCTTCGCCGCTCCAGCAGCTCTCTCCGCCTCCTCTCTCTCCTTCCGGTCTCCTTCGCCGCTCCAGCAGCTCTCTCCGCTCTTCTCTCCTCTCTCGGCTCCTTCGCCGCTCCAGCAGCTCTCTCGCTCCTCTCTCACTCTTCGGCTCCTTCGCCGCTCCAGCAGCTCTCTCCGCTCCTCTCAGTCCTCTCCTTCGGCTCTTCGCCGCTCCAGCAGCTCTCTCCGCTTCTCTCCTCTCTCGGCTCCTTCGCCGCTCCAGCAGCTCTCTCCGCTCCTTCTCGTCTCTCTCCTTTCGCCGCTCCAGCAGCTCTCTCCGCAGCTTCCTCTCTCCTCTCTCTCGGCTCCTTCGCCGCTCCAGCAGCTCTCTCCGCTCTTCTCACCTCTCGGTTCCTCGCCGCTCCAGCAGCTCTCTCCGCTCCTCTCTCTCCTCTCTCGGCTCCTTCGCCGCCCAGCAGCATCTCTCTCCGCTCCTTCGGCTCTCGCTCTCTCGCCTCCTTCTCCTTCGCCGCTCCAGCAGCTCTCTCCGCTCTTCTCTCCTCTCTCGGCTCCTTCGCCGCTCCAGCAGCTCTCTCCGCTCCTCTCTCATCTCTCGGCTTCTTCGCTCGCTTCTCCAGCAGCTCTCGTCCGCTCTCTCTCTCTCTCTCTCCAGGCTCCGTCGGCTCCTTTCGCCGCTCCAGCAGCTTCTCTTCCGCTCTTCTCTCCTCTCTCTGGCTCCTTTGCCGCTCCCAAGCAGCTCTCTACCGCTCTTCTATCCTCTCTCGGCTTCATCGCCAGCTCCAGCAGCTCTGCTCCGCTTTCTCTCCTCGTCTCGGCTCGCTCCTTCGCCGACTCCAGCCAGCTCTCTCCGCTCCTCTCTCCTCTCTCGGGCTCTCCGCCGCCTCCCTTCGTCCCGGCTTCCAGTAGCTCTCATCCGCCCTTCTCTCACTCTCTCGTCTCCTTTCGCCGCTCTCTCTCCCGCTTCGCTCCGCAGCACTCTCTCCGCTCCTCTCTCCTCTTCGGTTCCTTCGCCGCTCCAGCACTCTGCTGCCGACTCGCTCATCATCCTCTCTCGTCTCCTTCAGCCGCGACATGCCTCCTCGGCGTCACCAGCCTGTTTATCGGCTGTCATTGCTACCGTTCCGCGAGCCTAACTCCGGACGGGCCGCCGCGGGGGCGGCTTCCCATTTCAAAGTTCCCGGCAGGATAACATCGCCTCTCCTTCTCCTCTCTCCTTCCCTTCTGCCTCTCCCTCTTCTCCTCTCTTCTCCTTCTGCCTCTCCTCTCTTCTTCTCTTCTTCTCCTTCTCCCTCTTTCCTCTCTTCTTCTCCTTCTGCCTCTCCCTCTCCGCTACTCTCCCCTTCTCCTTCTGCCTCTCCTCACCCCCTCCTCTCTCTTCTCCTTCTGCCTCTCCCTCTCCTCTCTTCTTCCCCTTCTGCCTCTCCCTCTCCTCTCCCCTCCTCCTTCTGCTCTCTCTCTCCTCTCCTCTCTCTTCTCCCTTGTGGCTCTCCCTCTCCTCTCTTCTCTTCTCCTTCTGCCTCTCCTCTTCTCCTTGTGCTCTCCCCTCCTCCTTCTGCATCTCCCTCTCCTCTCCTCTCCATTTCTCCTTCTGCCTCTCCCTCTCCTCTCCTCTTCTCCTGCTGCGTCTCCCTGTCTCCTCTCTCCTCTCTTCTTCTCCTTCTGCCTCTCCCTCTCCTCTCCTCTCCTCTCCCCTTCTTCTTCTGCCTCTCACTCTCCTCTCCTCTCCACTTCTCCTTCTGCCTCTCCCTCTACTCTCCTCTCCCCTTCTTCTTCTGCCTCTCCCTCTCCTCTCCTCTCCACTTCTCCTTCTGCCTCTCCCTCTACTCTCCCTCTCCCCTCCTCCTTCTGCCTCTCCCTCTCTCCTACCTTTCCTTCAGCTCTCCTTCCTCTCGCCTGCTTCCTTCTAAGCGCTGCTTTCCTCCGTCTTCCCTTTCCTCATCCCATCCCTTCTCCTTCGTCCTTCCCTCCATCACTTCCATTCACCTCCTACCCCCTCCCCACCCCCCCTCCCCGAAGCTCGTCAGACTAATGTGGTCTTACACGAGAGGCTCGCTATTAATTAGGCAAGAGGATTGGGCGCGGTGGGATCCAGCTGCCAGCGCCACCTCGCTAGCTCTCTCTCTCTCTCTCTCTCTCTCTCTCTCTCATCTCTCTCTCTCTCTCTCTCTCTCTCTCTCTCTCTCTCTCTCTCTCTCTCTCTCTCTCTCTCTCTCTCTCTCTCTCTCTCTCTCTCTCTCTCTCTCTCTTCTCTCTCTCTCTCTCTCTCTCTCTCTCTCTCTCTCTCTCTTCTCCTCTCTCTCTCTCTCTCTCTCTCTCTCTCTCTCTCTCTCTCTCTCTCTCTCTCTCTCTCTCTTCTCTCCTCTCTCCCTCTCTCTCTCTCTTCTCTCTCTCTCTCTCTCTCTCTCTCTCTCTCTCTCTCTCTCTCTCTCTCTCTCTCTCTCTCTCTCTCTCTCTCTCTTCTCTCTCATCTCTCTCTC